CTGGGGTCTAGGTACTTCAACGCATGAGCGTCAGTTTATAGTACTGTAGTTTTTCCTTTCATCTTTCCGTGTAAATACTATTGGTAGCAGATGAGAGTAGAACATATTGATCAAGCAAAGAACTGCTTCCTTTTTTTTTTCCCCTGTACTGGGAATTGAACTCAGGACCTCGCACTTGCCAGGCAGGAGCTGTGCCACTGAGCTAAATCCCCAGGCCCGGCTTCTAATTGAAGCTCTATAAGATTCATTTTCCAGTTAGTGAGTTTTATTTATTAAATATCTTAAGATAACCTTATTTTCTTCAATAAAGGAAATTATTGTTCTGCCAGGGATATACTTGTATAAGATTGGCATGGTAGAAAGAATCATGATTTCCCAAAGATATTCATTCTATAACCTCTGGAGTTTATGAATACATTTCTCTGGATGGCACAAGACATTTGCACATGTACACTATGAGTACATACTTATTTTTTCCAGCTTTATGTATTTTATTTTAAAATTATAGTTATTAGTATATTACTTGTACAGGTTAATGGAGTTCATCGTGGTATTTGCATTGATACATACACTGTGCATGCCTTCAGGTCCACACACCCTCGTTTCCCCACTCTGTACAAGGGTGCAGATAGACCTTTAGTGGAAAAATTATTCTGTATCATCCAAGTGAGCTCAGTCTATTTACAGGAGCCCTTAAAGTTGAAGCGGATGAGTTGGTCAAAAGAGACAGCAGTAAAGAGACTCGCATTGCCATTGCTGGCTTTGATCTGCAGAAAGGGAGCCTCTAGCTGGGGGTTTCCTGTGCACACAAGTAGGAAACACTGTCCTAGAGCCTCAAGAAGGCGCACAGTCCACCAGCACTCTGACTTCAGCACTCCGACACCTGTTCTGGGTTTCTGACCTACACAACTCTAAGACAATAGACTTGTACTGTGTGAAGCCGCTATATTTGTAGTAATTTTTAAAATTTATGGCAGCAATAGAAAACTAACTTACTTGGCTATGACTTAAATACTTAAATACACCCAAAATGCAGTTTGGGTCATAATTCTGCCAAACAAGGCAGAATTCACACCTAGTAAAAAAGAGTAGATAATCCTACTCTTTTTTTTTTTTTTTAAGCTATTCTAGAACTCTCAGACACATGTTTTTGAATTAAAAATCTATCAGGAGAGAGATACTGTGTGTGAAAATAGAAGTATTTTCACAGACATAGAACGTTAGCAGAAAGAGTCATATTATAATCATCATTAGCACAAAAAATTTTTTATTATTTAATTTGGTAATAGAACTTTTTCTGGGTCTTCAAGAAAAAGGTGCATTGTTCACACATTTAATATTTGTTGCTTTTTGTAACAATAGAGTGTTACAAAGAATATACTTTCTCAATTGTGAAGAGGCCAAATAAATACAAGTTTCATGTATTGAACTATATGATGTTCTTTGTGAAACTGAAAATGTCTTCATGAAAATCCAAATCAGTCACATCCAATTTGTTTATTCTTTCATAACTGTGTTCAAGAATAGTACAGATACAGAAAAGTGCTTTATTAATATTGGATGGTTTCACTGTGGAATGAAGTCGTGCGAACAACAGCCAGATCTGAAACAAGAAGTCTTCTCACGCACTCACCAATTCTAACAGCGCATTTTACTTTTTCCAGTGTTATGCCTTATCTAACTGAAATCATATAGATTCTTTTATGTCTGGCTTGTTTCATTCAACATTGTGTTTGTGAGGGTCATGCACGTTGTATGCGTGTGTGCTTGTGTGTGTGTGTGAGTGTGCATGTGTGCTTCTCTGTGTGTGTGTGTGTATTACTGGGGAGTAAACCTAGGGCCTTTGCACTGAGCTACAGCCCCGGCCTTTTAAAAAAAGTTTTGTTTTGAGATGGGGTCTTGCAACGTTTCTAAGTTGCTAAGGCTGGGCTTGAATTTATAATCCTTCTGCCTCAGCCTCTCAGACCACTGAGTTTGCAGGCCTGTGCCATCCTGCCTCACTTACCCAAACTTTTATACGTAGTAACAGGTTGATAATTCTCATTGCTGTACAGTGTGGCTGTTAAACATTTTGGCTTGCCTGGACCACACTGAGCGAAGAGGAACTGTCTTGGGTTATGTAGAAAATATATGATATAGTTAGTGTATATTTGTAACAAAACTTTATGTTTTTATTATAAAATTACAAAAGAGGGCAAGCAGCCTGTGGGTACCAAGTGCAGTGTACAGTACTTTGCTGTGTGACTGTAACAAGGTTTTTTTCTAGTTGTACTTTGTTGGGTGTTTGGACAGTCTCCACTTAAGGGCTGTCACCATGACAGCTCCTGTGATCATCCTCACAGTGTTATTGCTTCATAGATGCACACACTTCTGTAGACCATACTGTGCACATATGCTCGGTCTGCTGGATACCGCCAAGCAGATTTCCATCCAATCAGTATCCCCTCCAATGGCATGTGCAAGTGATTCTCTCTTTTCATGGACACTTGCTGCTTCCTTTCCGTGTTATTGCAGGCATTCATTCTTGTCTGTCTCAAGCCGTATTTCATTACAGACTTACTTTGCATTTCTCTGCCCATCGAGATTGAGCGCCTTTTCATTCATTAGCACTCATCCGGATGTTCTGTTTTATGCAATATCTGTCACATTTCTACTCGTTCTCTCACTGTCTTTTCCTTGAAGATTTGTTGGAATTCTTCATGAAGTTCTACTATCTTCTCCCATGTGCAATTTTATTATTCACTCCCCTATTATGCCTTTTGATGAACACAGGTTATTTATTTATTTATTTCTTTGTTTGTTTGATTTTTTTGAGACAGGGCTGCACTACGCTATATAGTTCAGGCTAGCCTTCAACTCACTATGTAGCCCAGGCTGGCCTCAAACTCAAGCTGGTTCTCCTGCTTCAGCCTCCTAAGTGCTGGGATTGTAGGTGTGCACCACCACGCCTTTCACAAGTTCTTATTTTAATATAATGAAGTTTATTAATTTTTTCTTTTGTAAAATTTTTTTCATTATGAACTTAATTACCTAGCTCATCATCCTTAAAATATTGTTCCACTCATGGGATTTTTTAATCACTAGAAGTCAGTACTAACAGTAAAACTACATAAGGGCAAAATACACTCAGCTTTGTTAATCAAATGCAATTAAGAAATGACTAAGCAATGAACACGAACAGATGAATCTTTAGCTCCATAGTTAGTCATTTGCATCAGTCATGTCCAATTTTTCGGGTGATAAAAGAGTATTTTTTTCCCCTTTCTTGTTTATGTGATTTGGTAAAAGCAGGAGCTCCCCATTTTCGCAGCATGCCCGCCTCCACCCCACCGCACCAAGTTAATTTTTTACCCAGTTCTAGAAGATGCAATTTTCAAATGGTATAGTGTGAGTGAGCTCAGGTTTGGAACTGAAAGACAGGAAAGGTAGGTTGTGGTTTGTGATATATATATATATATATATGTATATATATGGAAGTTAACATATCTTATTGCTCCACTTTTACCTTTGGACAATTTTAATAAGTATTAAAGTCGGAGCAGTTGTTTTTTAGTGTGTAGTTTCCTTCTTTCCTTCTGAATGTCAAACATTCTTGAACATCAAACTGAAACATTCCCATCAATTGCCCCATAGCTCAATAAAGCCAGTGTTTTGCCACAAGTAGAGTTAGATTTCATAATTTTCATTTTCCCCCCTCAGGTAGGGTAATGAAAGTATGTACTGCAGTGCTTAAAGTTGGTTCAAAATATTCATAGTGAATAAAAAATACTTGGTGGATGGTAGGTAGTTTTTTGAATACAGATTTGTGACAGGAGAAAAAACTTACCTTGTTATTTTACATGAGAGATCCCAGAAGCTAAAATATACTTTTGAATTGAAGAGATTTTTGGAGATGAACTGCATATAAAATTCTTATACAGGTGTTATGGTTGTTATGGTTATACACTGTGTCAACCTGAGGAATCTAGAAGTTTAATTAAATAACTCAGCAGTTCTACATCCTGGGGTATAAAGGACATGCCTTTCCCGCTCTAGGACGTTGTTCATTGTGTCAACTTGACAAGTTTAGAAGGTTAACTATGTGACTCAGCAGGGAGCCAAGGTCCTTACTTTGTATTCATCCTGAGCCTGTGTAAGAGGAGGGCATGCAGACAGTGTGGACATAAAGGACCACCCTGCCTCAGGGCGGGTAAGCTGCATACAATAAATGGGAAATGAGGAAGGACTGAAGGCTGGTTCTTCAGAGGCGCCCCAGTCTTTGCTTTCAGCTTGGTAGTAGTTGTCTCTTGGCTTCTGGTGCAGACTGTTCAGCTTCTGCCTGGGACTCTTCAGCCTTCTGGTCTTGGCTCTCTGGCCTTCATTGTAGATTCTTCAGCATTCCATCACAGACCCATCAGCTTTCTGATACAGACTTGCACAGATACTGCAGTGAGCTCCAGGCCTTGGACTGGACTCTTCAGTCTCCAGTGTGCAGACACCCTTTGCACGCTTCCTCATCTGATTCTGTGGCTGACCGTTGTAAGCCAATCTTGTAATTTCTTATATATTTGTACACCTTATGTGCTGATACGAATAAACATGTGAGTAATAAGATTTTCAGTCAAATGGTTGAACTACCCCTGGCTGATCAGCAAGAATTTACCTACTTTGTTAACTTCTTTGATTCCCATGCTTTAGACCAACAGGCACAAAATGCCTTCAGAGATAAACTCAGTCTCTCCAGGACCTGGTACCCTCCATGTGGGACAAACTACTGTTCCTCGGCATCGTCTAATTTGCTGCTTGTTCTATTTCTACAGATTTTATGCTTTGAAAAATTTGGGAGGTTCAGTTTGTGTTCCATGGGGGAGTTAATCTGAATTCATTTCTGTAGAAGAAACTTTTTTCCTCTAAAACTTTAGGGCAACAAGACAAAAGTTAATTGACCCCCACACAGTTAGAGGAAGAAACAGAATCATAACAGACCTGGAAGACTCTAAGTTTTCCTCTTTTCTTTACAGGGTTGCTGAACGTGCCGGAGGAGAGCAGCCCCTTGAGGCTTCCCCGCAGCGCCATTACTGATCTGAATCTGAGAATCTGAATTGCACAACTCTCTCCCTCAATCTCGCTTGCCGCCCCTCTGGAAATGGACCTGGGGCCTTTCCTCTGAGCTACAGCAGTAACTTTAAAACTTTTTCTTAGTGTTGAGCAGGGTCTTACTAAGTTCTTCAGGCTGGGTACAATTCTTATATTACATACACCTTTGTAACTACTGTACTTGTAACTCAGTATGTCTTCAAATATGCATAAAATTAAAGATCACTATTTTTCCTCCTTATTGTAGCATATGAAATATGATAAACATTAGGATTTGCATTAAATTTTTTTTTTTTTTTGGATCTGGAGGCTACTAAGCAGCAGATCACTGAAGGGAATCAACCATAACAGAACCTTCCTTGGGAGTGTTAAGAAATAAAGTGTGAAGGAATTAAAAGTATAGTATTGGTGCTTTAATAAAGTAAAAGAAGTCAGTCCCTGATTTATCTTCTGGAGAATGAGTTTTGAGTGAATCCCTGAAGGTGTCCAGTCTGCACTCCAGTCTTGCTTCTCTTTCGCCAGGAACAGCAGAGGGTCCAGGCAGGCTGGAGCAGAGTGGCTGGGGGGCGGAGTGCGGAACTGTTGCTTTCACGATGGTGTAGGGACAGTTAGAGGGGAGATAGGCAGGGAGGTAGGGCATGAAGTGGCTGACACAGCATGGCTGGTGTGGCAGACAGTTATAGAGATGCCCCCTGCTTCCTGGAAATTGCCTTTGTGAAGCCTTTGCAGGCATGGAACGGTTATTCTTAGGGACCTCCTTGCTTACATTTACTGGAAGCCGCTAGACCCCCTGACCCTTAGCTCACCCTAGCAAAAGCTCACCCCAGCAACAGCTCACCTCAGCAACAAAGGCTCAGATCCTGAGTGGCCTGGAGTACACCAATCAGTGAAGACCTTGTACCTTTAACTCACCCCAGGCCAGCCCACCCCTGTAAGTATGGGCAGAGCAAAGACCTCAGGCTGACAAGCTCATTCCAGCTCTCCCTGCTGTGCAGCTTGGCGTTTGACAGCTCTGTTTCTGCTTTTGTCATCTTGTAAATAAACCTCTGCTCCACACTACTTTCATTTCTGACTTCTTTATTCTTCCCCAGATGACTTGACTTCCTCATTTTCTGTTTAAGGGATCTTGGGCTTTGAGTCAGTCTCACACTGCTCCTACAGTCCTTGCCAGAGTGACGCACAGCTCCAGAAAGGTGGAGGGTCTTTCTCACGGGAAGATCCCTGCCTTCCCAGATTCCCATTAGACACTATAATGGAAACATACTTGTGAGGATTTTCTGTATCCTCCCCATACCCCTCTTCATAAGAAGCTCTCATGCATACTTGCTATTTCTTGATATCACCTGGGGGTCGTGACATTGATTTAATTTAAAGTGTGACATGAAATAAAGGCTCCATCCACTTCTGCCCTCAATTCAAGGGCCATCTCCTTTGGTGGAGGAGGGTTGTGGGCACAGCCATCTAACTAGATGGGGGAATAGGTAGCACAACTCCATGTGGGTGTATAGATGTACAGATGTGGCTTAGGTGGAAGACAGGCTGGAGGACCACTGCTCTCCCTGAGTCCAACTATTCCCAATACTGATGACAGCCAAGTTGGCCTTTTTGAATCTCACTTTTGGGCATAGGGCAGAGAAAAAGTATTCCTATGCGGAAGTTTGTAGCTCTAAAGTGTGTTGCTAAAGTCTTGTTTTTCTGTCTCCTTCATATCCCTTTATCTGAATTCAATGTCTGACCTGAATTAGGGTTTTGAATATAGTAGGTGTTCATTAAATAACAGTTGGATGAAGAAACAAACTTTTCTTTGATTTTTGGATTGCTTGCTAGCGTGTGTCTTGGTACCAAAATAAAAAACAATGTGACACTAGTAGTCAGTTTAGCTATAGCATTACTAAAGACTAATAGTAGTTATTTATCTACTTAGCTTTTTAAAAATAAAAATATTTACCCAATTTAATATCTTATGTTATACTTCTCCCAATAATCCCAGCCCCCTCTACCTTACTTTACTTTTATTTTTGTAGCACTAATTCCTCCTACCACAAATATAATTTACTTCTTATGTTCACTACTGATTGCATAACTGCCCACCCCTGGAACTCTACTCCCTTGAAAACTGAGATCTTTGTCTTTTTTCATTAATTTATCTCAGGATTCTACACCAGTTTCTGGTTTTAATGAGTATTTTTAAATATGAAAATATCTTCTATATACAAGGCAATACGTGTGGTGTTGTATACAGAGATAATGAGTTAAAAATCATTGCGATGACTATAAAGGAAGTGGAATTGATACAAAGCTTTGTAGTAAATATTAAAACATACATATACAGAGTCCTAAACTTAATGATGATTTGACTTTATGATGGTGTGAAATTAATACACATTTAGTAAAATGTTCCTTCAATTTTTTTATTTTAAAGAGAATAAAAAAATAACAAAATAACAACAACATAGACAAAAACAAAACAAAGCAAGAACAATGAAAATTATACAGGGTTTCAAAATAAAATGATAGGGATTAACAGTGGATGTTACATTACATATTGTTATCTTCAACAAATTTGCTCAGATTACCAGATGTGAGAATGCAAGATTAGTCAAACCATTAAACGGAATTAAGAATAATAAATAAAAAAAAATAGAAACAATACAGAGCTTCCCTAGGCAAGATGGTAAGAATTCACCAATGGTTGTTATATTGAATATTTTGATCTTCAAATTAGTTGTGATAATTATATTGTTGATGTCTAATGGTTTATTGAAAGCAACAGTTAGTGTTTACACTTCTTTGAACAGTTTTGCATGCTTATATCTGGTAATCTGTACAGCTTCTTCAAATTTTAAAGTTTAATCTTTCCCCAGAAAAGTGTGGTGTTTTCTTGTGATGCTGGGTAGTGGTAGGAAGCTGAAGCTTTCAGTCATATAGGAGATACTGAACACTTTATTATAAAATAGGCTTTATTATCTTATTGGGCTGTGTAAGTATTCTAAATATACTTAAGGTAGGTTAGGGTACACTGATGTTTAGTAGATTAGATGTATTAAATGTATCTAGATTTACCATATTATCCATGAGTTTATCAGAAGGCATAGGTTAACGAGTCTGTCTGTTGTCTATCTATCTGTCTATCTATCTATCTATCTATCTATCTATCTATCATCTCTCTATCTACCTACCTATCATCTATCTATCAATCATCTATCTATCATCTATCTATCATCTATCTATCTATCTATCTATCTATCTATCTATCTATCTATCTATCACAGCAAATGGCTGTGAACAACTTGACCAGTTTTGCCATGGTCAAGGAGTGTCTTGCTTTCCTAGGCCCCTGGTAATCACAAATGACATCCTCTGGGGCTCCTGGGTTACTTCTTCAAGTCCTCACCAGGCTGCCATATGTCTCTCCCTCTTCCTCATATTCTAGGATGCAGCTTACAAACTAGAGTCTGAGGGCTGCATCTGGCCTGCACATGTGTATCGTTGGCCTTGTTGGAGGTTGGAAAATACTTTAAGTCTATTCCCAACATTTAAAAATCTGGAGAATTCACATAAGTATCCAAATTTCCTTCTACCTTCCCTTGCAAAGCCTCAGAATACATGTGATTATGGGGCAGTCATTTCCATGGGGCCTAAAATAGGCGAGGGCTGAGCAGGAGCCGGCCTATCAGATACAGACAAGGCATTTGTCCTTTGGGTCACTAGAGTTCTCAGTGCGCTCTCCTTGCCCATTCACTTCCTTCTTCAGCCCTTGGACAGCCTGAGTTTGCTTTGAGACTTCGCCCTACCCATTCTAATCTCCTGTGCTAGGAGTTTGATACTGATGAAAGCTGCTGGGAAGAGGTGAATGATGATGTCCCATTCAAACCGATTGGTCGCTACACACACTCTTTGCATGTAGAGTCCAACCTGTGTATAAATGGCTTCCTTCCAATGGGGAATTCACAGCTGAGACTGAAATAAGCTTTGGAATTCTTTGCTGCTTCAATATAGTGTGCTCCTTAGCTGAATAATCCCAGAAGCAGTGTTATTTCTTCTTGAGAAACACGTGTACCATTTGAAAAAAGGGACTCAGCACACAGCAGCACTCCTTCTTGAGATTTTCCTACTTTGAAAGACAAGCTTACCACTTGAGCTGGTCCAGGTTTTTCTGTTAGGCAAGTGTGCCTGTTTGCTTTTAAGATAATGCCCCATGTATGTGGTTTCTGGGGAAAATAACACCATCATAAAGAAAGTTTATTATCTAATATTTGAAGGCAATAAGACGCAGCCAGCACACTTGTTCAAAACCAAATAAAACACATCAAAAGAAAGACATCTTAACATTAATGGATAAAACATTCCTGATTTTGCTTCCTCCTCTCTGAAAGGAGAAACATGATATGAATAAATCTCCCTTGGTTATTCCCACATTCTTTTTATTCCCCTTCCTGCTGTTCCTGCTGACAGGGCTATAAAGTTAGAGCTAATTGTGGTGCTGAGCGTGTGTAGGAGTGTTTGTGGGTGTTGATATAAATTTTCATTGCTTTGAAACATTGCTAGGCAATTCATTAAAATATTGTCACTGATACCTCTGTCGCAGTTTAAATAACCCAGGGCTCCCTAAAGGGTAGCTGGTTTTAAATAAAATAGGAAAGCAAGTGACTGAAAACATATGAGAGAAAATAAAGAACAGGCCCATATGCAGGGAATTAGAGTCTAGGAGTCAGCAGAGTCTTTCTCTCATGGCGAAGGGGAGCTGATAGGACCAAGGCACACCAAAACTAGGGGAAACCATCCCGCAGTTGTCCTCATGAAAGTGACTCTGGCAGTTTAACCACCCCCCATGCTGAGAAATCCAATTTGGTGAGTGGATTATTGTAGTTGAAGCCTCCAGAAAAGGCTCATGAGCAAATGGACAGACCACCACTGGGGTCAGGACATAGAGTTTAATGGCTGGGGGAGGAGGGGTTCATTGGCAAGATGTCTCTGTTACTTTTCTCTCCGTGTTGAGACAAAATACCTGACACCCAGAATTAAAGAAGAAAAGGTTTATTTAGCTTTCAGTTTGTGGAGGTTTCAGTCCATACTTGGCTAATTCCAAGGCGGAGTGGCACATGGCAGAGAGCTACAGTTCATGGTGGTGGAGAACAGCAAAAGCAACAAGCGCAAAAGGGGAGGCATGGCGGCAGGCAGCCTCTTCCTCTCCCTTACATGTGTAAAACTATCTGCCCCAGGGCAGGTGTAACACTCACA